TAACTCAAATGTATTTCCTGCTCACTCTGTTTATATATGATTACTACCAAGGTCTGCAAAGTCCTCTGTAACAGAATCTCTTGCAGTTCCAAAGGAAGAAGAAAGCGCAAGCAATATCCCATGTCATATGTGCAGCGTGCTGAAAAGGCTTGTGAAACCCTGCCTGTTTGGTTTTTTGTTTTTTTTTCCCCCCCCTTTTCAGTAAAAGCTTTTTCTTAAAATATGCAGAGAGCTATGCCTTAGGCTCTGGAAAACTGTGGAGCCTTTAAAAAGTCATTCCTCTGTGTTTCCCCATACATCCACATCCACTCCCTTTTGGGTTTGTATTAATCAACAGCAGAAAAGTATGTCACACAGTTTAGAAGCTACTGTATTTAGAAGAGAAACCAGCACAGAATGCCACGAGATCTATTTTAGAATATTGAACCTGCAAACATATGTGTTTTGTAAAATAATTAGGAAAAAGTAATACAAAATTACATTATAATTTATCGTAACCAAGACCAATGTGTATTCTAAAAGCTGTTTATTTTAGAAATACTTTGGTGGTTCCATTAGAGATGAGAGTATAGCTTGTGAGATCAGTTTTTCCAAGTGTGTGCATGGGGCAGTTTAGCTACTATGAAAAGAAAAAAAAACAGGTTGTATTTTTGATTCCTGAAGAGCAAGGAACAAAAATCCTCCATTTTAAAATAAGAGCTGTAATATGCCTCTTGGCTTCCAGAAAAATGATATTAAGAGTGTGGTCAGCTGTTTGGCATTGGAAGTAAGATTTTGTGAACATCCACTTTCTGAAACCACAGCTGAATGATGACTGTAAAGATTGGGATGTGGGGTTCCCCCTCCCCATTTTTTGCCTTTGGTTATTTTGTCCTGGCTTATGGAAAGAAGTGGGACAGAAACTAGTGCTCCTCTGGCAAGGAGTCTTGCCCATGGGCACAGATTTAAAGGCAAAGATGGAACTCCTCAGTAGAGTGCTTGTTGCTTATTTGGTATGCATGTGGTGCAGAAACCAGAAAATATTACCTTTTTTTCTTCTTTTTTTTTAATTTTTCTTTTCCCCATTTTGGGCTGTCAACTCTGTCTCTTCTCTGACAGTTTAGGGTGTTCCCCGGCCCCTTCTTCTACTCTCCAGACAGTAATTCTTATTTTTAATTCCAGGAAAGTTGGAGTTATGTTGCAGGTTCCAAGTTCAACTGTGGTTTTAAATAGTACTGACAGTACTGACAATTGGGAAAGTTTCCTTAATTGTAGAGATCTGAGTAACTTCTACTTTCTATTTGCAGTAACAGTGTGTTGGCACAGATTTCCTCAATCTTTCAAAGCCCAGCCTCACGTATTTATTTATCTTGTCACCTCTTTCTTCTTGTATATTTTGTGGAGAGAGTGAAGTGGGAAGTGATTGTATTGCTAATAATCTTCCAGTTTTTTTCTTGGTAGTTCTTCAGAAAAAACAGTATTCCAATGTCATGCATAAGTGAAAAAAAACCCACAACTTTTTAGTGCCTTTCAGATGGAGCTATCAAATGGAATGGACATGTCTTCTGAGTTGGAGGAATAGTACAGATAATCTGAACTTGGTCTTGTAGACCTGAGAGTTGACATGGTGGGTAGTATCGTGGTCTGTAAGGAGGATGCATTCGTTATGGGTAATGCCTTTTGAAGGTGGAAAAATGTTCGCTGTTGTGCTTGGTTCAGCTCAGGAGAGGAGTATTGTGATGCTTCATACTTAGGACTGAGCCTTAAATAGGGAAATGTGTTTCCTCATTTTTCTTTTCAGTGAGAAGGGCTAGTGTTTAAGTGGGGTGAATTATCTAGTTTCTAAAGGTCTTTGTAACAGCACGTGTTCCATTTCTTATTAAATACCTTTATACTTATAATTGGTTTTTGAATAGTTTTGATTGGGTACTTATTTTTTAAGGACAAACCATACTTTTGCTTCTAAAATATATTCTGGTCCCAAACAGTTCCTTATGAAGAATATTGATTTTTTTAGCATCTAAAAAGGCTGGTGATACGGCTTTGAAAGGTTAGCTGTCTCAATTTTCTTTTCTTCTTCAAAATTTGGATTATTTGTTACATTTTTTGTTAAACTGCAGTAAAAATAGCAATTTTGTTCTTACCAAATATTTTGAATAGAGTGGCATTATTGTAGGATGATGAAAAATGCTTTTAATTTTAAGACAAGAAGTTTGTTGATCAAATATAGACTCGCTGTGTCTTTTCTCTAAAACATTTGTGAGGTTTTTCTTCCTCATTTTCTGAGACTGAGGACACTGTTCTCTAAACTTGCTAATGGGATCAAATCAACTTAATATGGAGCGTGACATTTGATGATAAAGTTGATTGCTTACACCCAACTTTGATTGGAGCAAGCTTAGTGGTCATTTGGAATATACTGAACACAAATGTAGCTTATACCATTTCATCTTGGCTGCTTCTCAAATTCAATTTGGTACAATGCCGCCCTTGTGCTATTGTAAAGTCTTTGAACTGAACATCTCCTCCTGTATTTACTATGTAAAAGTACTTGATTTTTTTAGGATTTAAGCCAAACAGTTTTTTAAAAGTCAAGAAAATTGGTATATTTAACACTGTTCATTTGTTACTGTGTTATGCTTGCATAACAACTTTAATTTTCACCATTTCCTTTACTAAATTACAGTGGTCCTCAGCTTATCCCAGTGGTTCTGCTTTTGGCCACCAAAGAGAGTTTAAATCTCCTACAAATGCCTTTGTTGCGTATCTGAAATGCCGCATTCAGTCAGTAATCCAAAACTGAATCTCTCTTTTTATTTCAGAGTTGTGGATGATCTTACTTTTCCTCTTCTTCTCCACTGCCCCAAGTGAAACACAGGACAGGACAGCTGAGGACTAAAGATACTAGATTTAATTTGCTGCATCCTTTCTTAACTACCACCAAGATTTCTGGGCATGGTAGCAAGAGTTGAAAGTGATTCACTCTGCTACTAATTCTTCTGTTACCTCTTGGTGATGCTATTGTAAAATATGCTAGTGTTCTGTTCTTTGTGATACAGTAATGTAGGAAGTGGATAAGGTAAAAAAGAGGCTTAAATACAGAAGCAGAGATTTCTGGGGTGTTTCATCACGTCATGAAATTAAAAGGGTAAGAAGCATATACAGAAGTCTATGCTCCTTTATAAGCAGGAGCTTTATTCTCAAGTACTGCGAGTTCCTCGAGCAGTAGAGGTCTAGTCCGCAGAATGTGAAAGATGTGTGTCAATAAATACGAGAGAGTAGACCCAAGTAATGACTAAAATACAGGTCTTCCACTTTGCAATAGTAGTCACTAATGTGTACCTTGTAGCATTAGATCTTTTTGTGATAATTGTTGATTGCTTTTTAACTACAATGCAAATAGTTAAGAAAATTTCTTCAATGTAATGTTAATCATTAAAATTAAGACTTAAATTCATAGTCCCAACTGCAAAATTGAAAAATCAGGCTTCAGATTGTCTCCTTAAATGCACTTTTATCATACTTCATTGCCAGCTGAGATTTCTACATTATGAGGCTAAGTACTGTGTTCTGCACAACTCTGATTATTATGTTTTTTTTCTTTTGCACCTCCAAATAAGCCTTTGCTTCTACTCAAATCTTTCAAAAAGAAAGTCAGTTGTTACCATTCTGAAGGTTTAACCGTGGATGGCTTGTGTGCTGTGAATTGTTGATTCAGGAACTGTAGAAATGTTCCCCTTGACTGCTCTGCTGATCACTTGATTCAGTTCTTATGGCTGAGTCTGTGCTACTCAGTTGGAATACATTTGTGCTGTTGACTTTGGGGAAGTCTGTAGGTTCAAAACTGTGTTAAGAAACTCTTGAATCAATGCTACACTGCTCAGAATGCCAATTTTAAGTAAATTATTCCCTTTGCCTATACTGTTTTTTCCTTGAATGTGTGTACAAATATCAGTAAAAAAAGCACAGGACAAAATAGCTTTTCTTCTTCCCCCCCTCTTAAAAACGTCTAGTTTACAGTAACTGAACCAGATGCTGGTTAAGTCCAGTTACCATTAGAAATATAATAGTTACTAAACTTTTGGACCTCTTGCTCCTGTTTCTCCAATTGTCATTGAGTATTTGTCAAAAAAATACTTGGTTGCAGCTGGAAGGCTTCTATGTGATCTTTCTGTTAGCTGTGTAATGAATTATGGATACACAAAATAAAAGGCTGTCAGCAAAGTGGAAACGTAGGGAGGAGGTGGAGGGAATATTGAAGTCACGTGGTTTTCATATTATTTTAGCTATTCTTTCTCAGTAGCTTCATCAGCTCAGAGGATGCTCTGAGATTTGATGTGTAATTATTTTCTATTTAATAGGTAGCCACACTGCTTTAAAAATGCATAGTTTAGTATGTGATCAGTGTAAATACTGGCATTAGCACAAGGGTAGACTGTCCATACCTACCTGTCTCATAGAGCGAGGAGTTAAGATTCAGTTATCAGCTTAGGTTCCTGTTACACAATGAGAGTATTTTTTGTAAGTTGTTAACAGTATTTTGCTGCCTTGCATCTGACAAAGAAGTTTCTGTTTGTTTTGATGCTTTGTTAGAATTTTTTTTTAAAGGAGGAATTATTTGGGCACTTTTTTTTGGTGGCCTTAAAAAGAGTGTTGTGATGGGTAGTGCAATAGTTTTCAAGCTTGAACTTTGACTTTTTGCTGAGATGCATAAACCCTTGAATGAGTGTTTTATTATTTGAATTGTGGTGTGCCTTTTGTATAACTGGCAAAAGACTCTAACCAGATTTCCTTCAAGCAGTTGAGTAAACGTGTGCTGAATTGATGGGAAATGGCCATTGCTGTATTAGGAAAAATACTGCAGAAGAGTGCACAATTATTTTGTGACAATTTGTATCTATTAGCAAATAGGACCAGAAGCATGGCACACGATCATCTACAAGTAAAAATAACCAGCACCATTTGGAATAAATGTAGATGTTGTTTTTGTAGCACCAGTAACTTTTTTTTTTTCCCTTTAGGTTCTTGATTGTTACAGACCATTTGCTGAAATGTCCAGAGTTGGTAAAAGCCCTCTATGCCAAACTGAGCAATCAAGAAAGGTAACCCCAAAAACCAATGTGGCTTTTAGTATTTAGCATTCCATATAGAGTATCCTGTTCACATGATTGAAAAACTGTGTGGTTTCATAGTTGGCACAAAATCTCTAAATACATGTTTCTATGTCAGTAATGGTTTTAAATTGGTTGGTTAACATTACAGCTTAGCCACAACTGGCAGTGATTTATGTAGGGTTGCAGAATCCAGGTTGGCGCCATTACTTGGTAAAGAAATACTTACCAGAAAAAAAAAAGAAAAAAAAAAAGAAGAAAAAAAAGAAAAAGACAAGATTTCATGCCTGTGTCTTGATTTCATAAGAGCACCACACCCTGCAGTGTTTTACAGCTGTATTTGAAATGTCTTAATGTCTTCAGCTGTTCATACTCGTTTTGTAATTACAAGAAATTAAAAGGAAGCCATTACAGAAGTTGGAATTGTATCTAATACTGGTTTGCAGAATCTACAAAACATAGATATGTAGATGCCCATGATTATTTAATCTTTTAACATTTCCACTGTTAAAAGTATAAAATACTTCAACAAAATTCCCTTGGAAAGAAACTAGCTAGTTTTCCTTCCAGGGTTTGAGTAAATGTATGCTGGATTGTTGGGAAATGGCCATTGCTATAATTGGGAAAATGCTGATTTACGATTGCTTTAATAAAGAATCGGGGAAGATAAAAATTGATTTTGTTAGGATAACCAACTTTGGGAAATCCTGTACTATGACTCTACAGCTCCTCCAGCCACTTGAAGATCTTGTGATCTTGTTTATATATTCAGCGTGGCTACTTTGTTCCACATATGCCCAGGGAAACTGCAAGTTCTGTGTGTAGATTTGGCAGGTGAAAGACAAAGCAGTAAACAAAGTAGTCCTGTAATATTTTTTTTCCCTGTGTTTTTTACTGTGACTGAAGCCACAGCAAAATGGGAGTACAGACGCTAATCAGTCTATAAAGAAACAAAAGGATGGCAGGCAGAGAAAGAGTGGATGGAAGGTTGAGAACCATAGATAAAATATCATTAATGTATAAATTTGTGATAGAAAACAAGGGGTAGGAAGATAAGGAGGAAAATACTGTCATCTTCCTTTATTCAGGCTGACCAAATGGAAACGAATATCAACTGTGTGCTTACTGTGCCTACAGGTGGGGGCTCGTTAACCAGTTAGCGGAAAAGACTGTTTTAAGTGAACGACCTAGATTTAATTCTTTTGGGGAATGTCATGAATGGCAGTTTGTATGTTTTCATAATCTCCTTGAGGACAGCCAGGACTGGGTTAGGTTGTTTAATTGTACTTACAGCAATAGATGTAGTCAGTTTCTAGAAAGATCTCCACTGTCTTTGTTGCATGTACTGTGCTACAGACCATGATCGGCTACCTCAACTGAAAGGCTTTTAGTGTAGGTATCATATGGATGATCACATGTGCAGGATGGCTAGTCACGGCATATTAGCTGAATTTGTTATCAGTCCTGACAGTTCTGCAAATCAAGTAAACTCAAGTTTTTCAAAACATAATCACAGTATAGTTTATTATGAATTTGGTACTGCTTAATTACTGTCAAACATATGCAAGTAAGTGGTGTAGAAATAGTCCTTTTGCATCTGAGCTGTAGAAGAAAACCCTGCTGCGGCATTTTTCTATATAATGTTAGCATATTTAAGAATGTATTTTTTAGAGATATCTGAGGAGACAAATCCAGTTCAGATAAAAACATTTTGACTGTCATTAACTGGAGAAAAAAATAACCATATAAACCAAACCATAGGGAACTCATTGTTTCAAAACGAGACAAGGAGCCTTCACCGCAAGAGTTGCCGCATTGGGTGTCCAGTAAGGCTGACTAAGTCATATAAATGAAGAAAGGACAGATGTGGTATTGAGGTGTCTGGGGAAAGCAGCTGGAGCTCATGAATATATGGTAACTCTCAGTTACAGGATTCTTGATCATGCACATTAAATACACTTACTTTAAATGTATTTACTGAAGCAAAATTACCTATGCTGAGAAAGTTTGCGAATACACAAGTTAGTGGTGACTCTTAAAATTGGCAGTTGCCTTAGATAACCAAAGTATATGCAGTTGCATAACCGCAGTTATTTGCACTATTCACAGTATTCGCACTATTCAAAATATTTCCTGTAATTGAAATCTAGTGCATTTGTGATGCTCTGGCCATGGTGTACGCCATGAAGTAGTTCTTGTTGTAGAAGTGGATCTGGAATCTGAATTTTCAATTAAAAGACAAAATTCCTGACTTCTGGACAACTTTCTTTTTCATTTCCAAACACATTTATGCACTTTGGTGTTGCCTGTCTGAGTTTGCAAATGGCCTGAAATAAATATTGTGATAATATGATCAGCTTTTTAAATGGTATTCTGGCTTTGAAAAGTGATGTGACAATGCCTGCTGTTTCTCTGCAAGTGATTATTGCAGGAACATATGGCTATAGTATTGAGCCAAAGTCTGCAGATTCTTAATTCTTTGCCAGATTTGAGATTTCCCTGCATGTGTGTGCAAGTATTTGGCAGAAGTATTTAGGAAATGCCTGCTTTGCTTTAATCCAAGTTAGCCTTGAGCATGGACAATGTAAATTAATGCCTTGGTAGTCTTAACTACATTGTAAAATCTTCAAAATGAGTACATCTGTCTTGTCCCTTTTAAGATGTCGTGCCTTCACAGCAACAAAAATGCAACTGAATAGCAATTGAATAGCTTTGGGTTTTTAAGATACTCAACTGCTTGCATCTTTAGTTTTGATTTTTCTTTTATTTCCCATGAAGTGTTCTCAGTGAATGATGTAGCCATTGATGGAATTACTGGCAGGGAAATGGGCATTCACGTAGTGTTAAGTGCCACTGCTTCTTGCTTATGTTCAGCTACAGGCCTGCTGATGTCAATGTTGGAGTGGGTTTTTGTTCTTGGTAATACTCACAGACACAGAATAACTGAAGGTAGTGTTGGGTTATAATCCTTCACAAATTCACAGCTAATTTTCATTTAATAGGATGCTTACAAGTATCGTCCGAAGATGAAAGAATTGGAAAATTTCAAGGAAGGAGCTAATTTGTCTCACAGAACTATTGCTGTCAGTAAAACATTTCAGGAAAGAGAAGTCCCAGTCACAGAGTGTCCCAAGTGTCAGGTATTTGTTAAGGTGATAAACCAAACATACTTGATACAAAAATTGTTTGGTGATAATAAAACTGATAGAATTTTACAATATTATTTTCAGACAGGCTTAGCAGAACTTCACCTTAATTTGCAATAATGAGCTTCCAGATTTAAATTGCACCTCAATGCTGTGGTTTATTTGTAGACTATAGGAGACAGCAGCGTGTTTTACTGATGATTGCAGATGCTTTATAGTAGTTCTAACTTTTGCCAATTTGGTCAGCTTCAGGAAGAATTGGTTTAAATTTGGCTAGGGGCACAAAAAGCAAGAGACTGACAAAAAGTCTTCCTAAGTGCTGCCTAAAGAAAAAGAAGATAACACTTACAGCGTGGTCATTTCCAAATAGCAATAAAATCATAAACATAATAAACAAAATTATATTTTAGATATTGAACTGAATGTTACAGAAAATCATAATGAGACATGCTAAAACTGATACTAACAGTTGTCATATCTGTTGTATTTAGCTATAGGCAAACAAGTAGGGACAAACTGTCATCTGAAGGGCTAAGCAGTTGTGAGATCATTTAAAAGAAATGAGCAAATTGCATTGTGTGGGAGAACTAACTTGGAAAAATTTGGGTGACTCTTGGAAGAGCACTGAGAAACAATGGAAGAAAGGAGCGTAAGGGAACTTGCACCAGAACAAAAAGTGTCGCTCTCAGGAAATTGTTGGCTGAATGGCAAGACTTGCTTGAAATTCAGGGGAAAGATGAGCATGTCCTGAACGACTGTGCCTGGAAGAAAACTCAGGAAAACAGTTTTGACATGAATGCCTAAAGAGAACAGAAAACTTTAAAAGAAATTACATACAAGTGGTGCTTTAATATCACTCCTATTTCTCTGGAAGAATTATGGTCGTCTAAAAGGGCACTTGATTGTATTGCAAGAGGAAGAGTAATGCAAAAAATTTCCCTATTGGCAACAATTTCATCTCAGTAATACAGTTTGTGGAAGTATGTGGTGACCCTCCAACTTCTTTATAGAAGGATTGTTTGTCATTTTTAAATGTGTATTATTTGGATTAGTGGTGCAGCAATAGCTGACTAGGATTCTGTTACATGGGAGATAATATTTTATTGGAATAATTACTGTAATCATGAACAGCCTGTTTTCTTAGCTGAGCATAGGCTTGAAAGGCTCTAAACTTGGTAAAAACTGTCATGTAAAGTCTTACCCTGTCTTGAGGTTGAATGACATGTTTGTGCATTTAACTTGATCTTTCTATAGTATGCCAAATCTTGAAAGCCTTTGTTCAGTAAGGGCTTTTGGGTAACTGGACTCTGGTAGTTCGTAAATGGGCAAGCATGTGGTACCCAGTTGTAACCTGCACAACAGACAGAATGACTGTTCTGTGTCGGTGCTGCATCACACATGTGAGTGAAGCCTGTGAGAGAGATTACCAGTGCTTGACAGCCTTCTGTCTGGAGTCCACCCTTTCCCAAATGTGTTGAGCACATTTCTGTGCTACCGTGTTGAAAAAGCTTTTTGTTCTCTTTCAGCTAATTGTTTAATGCAGCTTGTATTCATGACACTGAGGGTTGAGTTTAGCAAGAACTGAGTAGCTGTTATGTGATTAATAGGGTTGGGTTCTTGGAGGTTAATAAAGCAGTGACCGTACATTTTCCACAGAAAAAGACATTTCTCTTCCCCTTGTGACAACCTGCTTGGTAAATTTAAAAAAAAAGAAAAAAAAAAAAAAAGGCATTTGAACTATTCCACATGTTTAAATGTCAGTCCTTCCATCTGAATTGCAGATATTTTAATGAAAGGAAACCCTGAGCCTGCTCTTTAATTCATTCAATAAATAGCACTCTTTCAGGTTGAGAGAATTACAGTGGGATTTCACTAGCCCACGTGCTCCTCTGCACCAGAGTTGAACAGGGGAGCTGTAGGAGGGCCTCTGCCATGTTAAAAGTTCTGCTTCCACAAAATACTAGTTTGCCCTAACAACATGATGGGATATCAGAAATAAAACGATATTAAAACTGTTAAAATAAATGATCCAAGTACATTTTATAGAGCAGCTTTGTTATGTATCCACGTACTTGCTGGTTTAATACACCGAGTAACTCCTACTGAGTATATGAGTAATTAACTTGGATTTACTGTAATCCATCTAGTGGCAATTATAAAACAACTGTAAAGAACTGAGTGTACATACCATTTTTTATTTCCTCTCTTTCTTCTCAGAATTGGTTTGGGGTTGGGGAGGACAATTAGTGAAGGACTGCGTGCAAGGCAGGGCCATGAAAAGCTGATATTTTCAAATGGAAGTTGTCAAATAGTCTGTGCTTATTTTGCTGAACATAACAGCTTTTAAGAACTGTTTTGGTGGAAACTTTAGACATATGGAATATGCACTCACAATAATGTTATGTTAGGATATGAATTACAAATTGGAATAGACTTGAGAAAAATATTGACTTGACTGTCTGGCCAGATTGTATTAATTGAATGATTAATTAAATTAACAGTGTGCAGAAATAAATCGGTGAACAGGAACTGATTGTCAGTCTTCATGAGACTTACTAATTTTAAAAAATCAGCTCTGTTACTGGCATGCTAATTGTTTGTATAATTTTTAACAACTGTATCTGTTTATTCTACTGATAATTCTATATGGCTTAGTGATTTTGATTAATTTCATTTGTTTTCCAATTCTAGAGTTACTTTGTTAGAGCTGATAATGGTGAAAGTAAATGAGAAGAGCCCAGTTCCCAGTGAAGAAATGAATGTGTTCATGAGAAATGCTGACTTCCTTGCAAGCTGTTTCCAAGAGAAATGTGAAGCTGTGCTCAAGTTAACTTCTGCAGCAGGTGCAGAAGATGAGGTATGATGGATAAAAAACACTGTAGTACAAGTCTCTGAAGTGATGAATCTTCATTGCTGCTATTACCTGTGGCACTTGTGTACGTTCCCAGTTTATATCGGGAAAGCAGTGGCAGAGTACACAGGAGAATCTGTAAGACAGCAACCTAATTTTGCTTTTAATTTGAGGATGACAAATAATACAGTACAGTGTTTTATTATGGTCTTACTAAGGATCACTTCTGTAATTTATTTGGGTTGTGAATTATATTTTATTTAAATATGAATCAAAACTTAAAATATTTATTTATACATAAGAAACAGTGTGTCTCTCTTTCTTTTCCTTCTTAAAATTAGGGTTAAAAATTGAGTAAATGCTTTTTTTTTCCTAGCAATGCTAAAGGAAGTAAATCTTGGGGTTGGTTTTTTTGGGGTTTGTTTTTTTTTTTTTAACTTAAATAACTGATGATAAGTTGATAATTAATACATTAAGGTCTCAAGTACTAGTTCTTTGAAAATGCATTGGGCTACTTGTAAGGCAGGTGTTCCTGATGTGTTTGGGACCTGGAACATCGAGTTCTGATCATGGAGAGCTGTGGGGTGTGTGTGATTGGCTCAGAGCAGGGGAGCTGTCTGAAATGTATAGCAATCCTCCCTGCAAAAGGGCTTTCGTTACTGACTCTTCCCCATTTCCCAATGATTTGAGCCTCTCTGGTGGACCTTGCATGGCTCTGACAAGGTGGGACTCCTGGGCCTAGGTAGCATCCACAAGCAACAAGTTGCAGACCGTGCTGAGCTCTTAGTGGCAGACAGCTCCTGTCCCTGAGCGCCCAGACACTTGCTCCAACTCCAGTCCACTTGGAAGAAATCTGTTATTGCTTCAGACTTAATGAACTGGTTCTGTTGAGGATGGCCACAATTAGGTCCCTTTGCAAGCTAAATAGGAAAGCTTTTATGGGTCACAAATGGTTAGTGGGTTGCACTTTGGGAACCTCTGATGCAGAGCTGAGTCCTGGATGACCGCCTTTTATTTCCTCCTTACAAACTATCCCAAGAGTGTTGGCTACTTGCCACACCATATAGTGCAGTAAGGAGGTTTAGGCCATCTAAGGGCAGAGGTCTCTTCAAATAATCTGGTGATCTATTTTTTTCTTACTTCAAACAAGCTGCTTGAACAAATAGCAACACCATTGGGAATACAGAAAGCAACTTGCACCATAACTTGCAGTGACCTTATTTGTGCTGTGTTAGATCATAGTCTGAGCAGGCAATGCCAGGTCATATTGGTCTCGTTCTTGATCTCTCTCATATGCATAAAGTTTTAATGTTTTCAGCTAATTTGGGAGTGAGATTTTTTTTAAGACAGCTAGCCAGAAAACTAAAATGCTTGAGGAACTCTCATATGTTTTACTCAAGCATAGAATTAGTTAACCACTGATTCTCACTGATTAATCATGCTTAGTTTCAGAAGTATAATCAGTGTATTTTCTTAATATCATAAAAGGATTTTTAAAGAAAAGTGACATTGAGCTTCTATCTTGCCAAGTGACCACAGGGGTGTGTTGAAGTTGTGTTACCCAATATACGTGTAGTTGGAAACATTTTATTGTTAAAACAAAATTAACCTGTAATAGTTTCATTTGTAGAAACTATTGAGAATGACTGTCATAACTAATCTACTATCAAAGTGAAAACATATTTATCTTTAAATGCTTTTATATGATAATGTTACACAGTGTTTTACTTGCTGTTTTTTTTGTTTGTTTGTTTAAATAGGCACAAGATGTATGTTGAGAGGTGTTGCAAAAAGATATCTAAATCACTTTATGAGGAGTTAATAGTTGAATGCATAAAAAAACCCCCCAAACTCTTCTTATCTGTCCATTAAGCACAGCTTCCTCTCACCTCCCTGACTGCTTAGTCTAAGTTATGTTACAAAGCTTAATTGACTACTCCTGGAAAAGGTATCAGCTTGGCAGTAAGAGGACATGTATTGAGACAATTCCATCTTTTCCTTTTTTTTTTCCCCTCCCCTGCTCCCTTCTCTCTCTGTTGTTCTCTTTTTTCCCTTTCCCACTCCCTGCTTTTTTTTTTTTTTAATCTTATGTGGTTACTTTCCAAGTATTCTGCGGTTTCAGTTCTTGGAAAAAAACATTTGTTTGCACCCAGCAGAAGGAGGTCTCTGTCCAACTTGAAGGTGCTGGGATAGCAGTATTGAGAATATTACTGTGTAACTTGCCCTGCTTGACACTGACTTTTTATTCTTCTCTCACATAAACATGCAGTATGGTAAGTTGAATATCACTGGTGGGAAATGTGGATCATTTAACGAGCACAAAATATAAGTAATAATAGTTGAATAAATGGAGAGCAATGACAAGAACAGGTTTTTTAGAAGTGTGTGTATATGCATATTGTATGTATACATTTATTCATAACATATGCTTGCCATGAGAAAAGAGAAATTCCAGCTTAAATTCATAAAACTGTTTCTTACTAGAAATGATCAAAAATTGCACCAATTTCTCCTTGATTATATAAATATTTTAATTTCTGCGTAAGAGTTGTACTTAACTGAAAAAAATGTGATTGTGCATGTAGAGTCTGTCATTAAAAATACTTTAGACAACATCTGTGATATTAAACCAAAGTCTGTCTGGACTTTTCTGTAGCCCTGAAGCCAAGTGCCTTGGTCAGGCTGTGTCTGTACTGGTAAGCTGTCTTAGCCTCCAAAACTGGGAGGCCACAGTTGAAAACTGCCTTTTGGGAACAGTTCTTGAACTGGCCTGGCTCACAAAATGTTGTCTGGGTGTCCCATCCACTGTTTAATTTATTATATGTAGACACTGCCTTTTTTCCCTAAGGAACCTCAGGTCTTGTAGCTTCCATCTCAAACCAATGAGAAGCTAATCATATGCTTCTGCAGTACTTAAACCAATGTTTAAAATAGCTTTTCTGTTATAAGCCTGACTGCAACATGAGTTTGGCTTCACTAACTTTCAACTCTTCTGGCAAAATAAAACCCTTCCCTGGATTTCAAGTTCTTATTTAATCTCTTTATAAATTACATCTTCCGAGTCTCACTCAAAATATGTTTATTTAAAAGCTCTTCATTTGTTTCCTTATTTACTTTTCAGATTACATCCACATCAAGATGGCTGGCAGATTTCAAAATACTTTGGAGTTTGAACAGCATCTTGTTGCTGAACTTAGGCAATAAAGCAGAATACTTACTTTTTTTCTCTTGTACAGGTGGAGGGCAAAAAAATAAAATAAAATTGGGAAGTTGCAGAGGAGGGAATCCCAACCAGAGATGCTTAAACAGTTTTTTGAAAGTATCACATTTCAAATGTGAATAAGAATTTGGGGGTTCTTTTGTGCTTTTTAAATAATCTTCTCAAATCTAGGAGGAACAGTTGCTGAACTGAGCCAGATGATGGGATAAGAGAAAGGGAGAGATGGTAGTATAAAGCCCTGGGAAGAAATATGTAGAGGACAGTGAAGAAAGGCATTAAAAAAAAAGAAAGCAGGGGGGTGTGTGTGAAAAAGGATAAGGCTGAGAAAGGAAAAGCCACACCTCATCGTATCAGCTGCTGCAGGGCTTGCATTATGTGTGTTGGCAGTGGGGTACATAGAGGCAGCGAGGGCTGATGTGCCTCACTGGTGTGATGTATAGTTGCGTATTGATGCTCGTTTGCTAACAGTTGTAAAGCACGTAACCTTTTCTTGTGCAAAGGTCAGCGTTAACTGTGTGAGATGAAGAGGCTTTTGGTTAAGGTACTGTCTTGTAACAATGTAAAATGGCTTAAAAAATTGTAAATACCTGCTTACTGTCTCTGAAATACAGTTGAAGTATTCTTACTTTATAACGGGACAGTGAGCAATGTATTCAGAGGCTGGTTTTGTGCTGTTGAAAGTAATTTATTTAATACCTTAAGGCAAGACCTATACCTTCCTACACCTGTGTAAGGAAAAAAAAATGAAAGTACAGCTTTAGCACCTGAAACCCTATACTGATTTGTTGTCTTCAAGGAGCATAGGAAGGAGTGAAGAATGGATATAATCATAATAATTACTGAACACTATTGTGGATGATTTCAGTTATTTTATAGTGATTATATGGATTCCAAAATACACTGTCGGTAAATAAACATCTCTTTGTCCTGGACCAGACAAGGCAGGAATAGTTACTGTGACCTGTGTCTGAGCCTTTTCAAGGCTACTTGCAGTTTATGTACCACACCTTGTGTGGAATCATCTTGCAGTCAGTCTGGTTCTTGAGCAATATGTGGTGTTCCAAATTATGCCATATGGTCTTAAGGTAGTTTCTGTAAGTACTAGATTGTCATTGTAAGCACGCATCAACATAGTCTGTGAGGAAAAAATAGTCCTCTGGCTGAATAAATAATATGCAAATGAAATTGTGTGTCTCATACCTAACCAAAATGCTGCATCTATGGTCCCAATCCTATTTACCCAAGAATAATGTAAATTCTCGCAGCCAAAGTTCATTTGACCACAGAACTTTACAGAATTCCTGTGGATAACAAATTGGTGTCTTGCAGGCGGTGTTTGTGTCTTTAAAGTGGGACGCTCCTACTGAATAAACTCAAAGAAAACATTTATACAGAAATAATTTTCTCAGCTAGTAATTTTCTGCATTTCTGCTTTTGGAAGCTACTGTGTTTTTGTTAAAATTTTATCCCTTATGGCTCTTTTTTGGTTTCCCCATGATTTTTCAGGGCACATATAACACTGTTGGACTGTAGAAAATAAATTATTGCAGTGTAATACTTTATTGTTACTGTAGAAGGATGTCCTTATTTTATATAAATTTATTCTTGGCAGACCTTGAGAAGCTCTGCAGGAACCCGAGGTGCTGAGAGTTCCTGTCCTCTGTTTAGATCATTGGTTTTAGGTTCTTACGGTATCCTGCATAAGCCATTTTCAGAAATGTAATTTTCATTTACAGGAAGCACTGGTTACAATTCGTCTTCTTGATGTTCTTTGTGAAATGACATCGAACAATGGACAGCTAAAACATCTACAGGCTTTGCCTGGTTTACTTGAAACAGCCATAGGTGAGCGAAAAGCCACAAGTTTTATTAACTGTTGGCTTACTCCAAATCGTGTTGCTCTGTAAATGAAAACATGTTTTTCACAACTGGTGGTAATTATGATTCTGACCTTTTAATAAAATAAATAAATAGGAGATTGAGTTAATCTACATTTTCAAATATTTGATTTGTTCCTGGAATTTTTCTGCTTCTCTACTTGCTCTGTTGGCTCCTATTACCCAACAGAGCCTTGATTCAACTGTCAGCAATGCGCTATTTATACAGTAAGAGTTGTGCAAAGGACAGCTGCTTCCTATGTTCTTCGACTGGCTGAATGTGTGTAGAAGAATTTCCTCAAGAATTAGAAAAAGGACTTTTCCATGCCTCTTCCTTTCTGTTTCCCAAATTCCTGAAAACTGAAAATAGGTACAGTATGAATGTTCTTAACCTAATTTCATGACTCTTAAAGGTCAGTTTGAAAGAAGCTTTCTTCTGCTAAGAAACAACAAGCCAAGAGCTGTATAGAAAGAAAATTATTGGCTGGATGGTTGCACTCAAAAGAGTTGTGGTCAACAGCTCGATGTCTGAGTGGAGACCAATGACGAGTGGCATCCCTAAAGGGTCAGTATTGGGGCCAGTGCTCTTCAACATCTTTGTCAAAGCCATGGACAGTGGGATTGAGTGCACCTTCAGCAAGTTTGCCAAGGACACCAAACTGTGTGGTGTGGTTGACGTGCTGGAGGGACGGGACACCATCCAGAGGGACCTTGACAGGCTTGTAGGACCTTCCAAGGTCCTGCACCTGGGTCAGGGCAATCCCAGATATAAATACTGGCTGGGTGATGAGTGGATTGAGACCAACTCCAAAGAGAAGGACTTGGGAGTGGTGGTGAATGAGAAGCTGAACATGAGCCGGCAATGTGCGCTTGTAGCCCAGAAGGACAACTATATCCTGGGTTGCAACAATAGAGCGTGGCAAGCAGGTCGAGGGAGGGGATTCTCCCCCTCTCCTCCGCTCTCATAAGGCCCCACCTGGAATACTGTGTCCAGTTCTGGAGCCCCCAACACAAGAAAGACATGGACCTGTTAGAACAAGTCCAGAAGAGGCCATGAGGATGATCAAGAGGGCTGGAGCACCTCTCCTATGAAGACAGGCTGAGAGAGTTGGGACTGTTCAGCCTGGAGAAGAGAAAGCTCTGGGGAGACCTTATAGCGGCCTTCCAGTACCTGAAGGGGCTACAAGGAAGCTGTGGAGGGACTTTTTACAAGGGCAGTTAATGACAAAACAAGGGGAAATGGCTTTAAACTGAAAGAGGGTAGGTTTAGATTAGGTATTAGGAAGAAGTTTATCACTGTGAGGGTGGTCAGACACTGGAACAGGTTGCCCAAGGAAGTTGTGATGCCCCCTCCCTGGAAGTGTTGGATGAGGCTTTGAGCAACCTGGTCTAGTGGAAGGTGTCCCTGCTGATGGCAGAGGGGTTGGAACTGGATGATCTTTAAGGTCCCTTCCAACCCAAACCATTCTGTGATTCTAAGATGACTAACAAGAACTATTTTGTGTGTATGTGTTTTGTGTAAACTCAGAGTTACACATTGTATCATCTGAATGCTTGTATAAATCTTTCCACTTAAATGAGCATTTCAAGGAGCCACAGATAGTGAAGTTCAGCAGCCTAGAGGCCAGTCCTCCTTTCTCTAGCTGAGCACAGGCTGACTTTTCTCTGCAGCTGTTTCCAGGCTAATGAAATGGGTGCAGGCTAAAACGTTGCTACCATGTGCATCCTACATATTTCTCAGGTACCCTCAACTGGTATAGTTCTCTGGGTGTGGTCACTTTGTGGAATGTTGTGTTCTCAGATTTTAGTTTCCCTTCTCCCTGATTTCTCTCTGGAGCATTGTAGTAAAAAAAATCCTAGTTGCTGTAAGCTAGCATTTGCCATACACGAACATTTGTATTTCTCAGTTGACAGTGTTATGGCACTGAAGGACTTGTAAAGATGTGTCAAGGTGCTAGATGTACTTTCTCATACTACAGAGCTAGGAACAGACTGGAGAAGAGAGAAAAAAGTAATTCTGGGATTAGTATGTGTTGCTGTGGCAATTTTGAGCTAAAGGAAATTTTCTAAAAACCTTAATTTTAGAAATATATTTATGGTGCTAGAATCATCAACAGCCTGCAAGTTCCAACTCTTCAAGTAGAGATAAATAGCACTCGACTTCAGACACTACAGAAGTGTGTAAAAAGGATGCAACAATACCTTCTGACCTTGGGACAGCCATGTATGGTTATCCTGGCACAAATTAAAAAATTAAAATTAAGAAAACTTCCAAAGTTCTTCTGATATATTGCTGAATATCTGAAATTATGTTGTTTGACTTTGAACCTAACCATTAGTAGTAAAACTCTGTGCAAAGTGATACTAATTTTCTTGTGATAATTAATTTAAATATTCTTTTCTGTAGATACCCTGAGATTAACTCATCTTGCTGGGAAACAGGCTGTAAATATTTTCACTGCCACACATGCTATGACAGGACAGGAAGAAATTGCACATCCAGCTGTGGGTTTTAAATCTCATCTCATTCGTTTGATTGGAAATTTGTGTTACAAAAATAAGGAAAACCAAGACAAGGTAAGTTTATACATTTTTCTGGCAGAACTCTCACATGTGAACAGCTGTGTATTCAGCTGTGACTGTGACTTCACTGATGAAAATATATTGTTGGTCTAAAATAGAGATTAGAACTGGTCTTATGAAGGAGGTAAGATTTTTTTTTAGTGTCTTTGAGTTACTATAACAGGTATGTTAACTTTCTTATAACAGTGTCGTATGTGTCTGTCTGCCTTTTGCTTCAGTCCTATAGACTGCAAGCCAGTGCCTAATTCCTTTGTTGTTTTCACTTTCTTTGAAAAGAAAATGTATGAGACTAAACTGCAACTTCACTTTGAAGGGAAATGGATGGGAATTGTCGCATGAACTTAATTAATCCTTTAATTAGTCTCTAATATTTTTTCACTCTCCCGTCCCTTATTTTTTTTCATGCGAATTTAAAAATCTAGACCTGCTTCTATCAGATCACTTTGAACTTGTGTTTAGAATTCCTGTATGAAAAACTAGTTTTGTTTCCACAATGAGAAAAAAGAGGGAACAGCAGCATGTTTTTAACTATGAAACCCTTTATTTCTTAGAGTGATAAAAGATGTGGCTTTCCTATAAGACTTGTTAGACTAACAGGTTGTCTTGTTGTTCATCGGAGCACTTCCAGAAATCAAGCAGGTTACATTCTCATTTGGCCTAAGCAACCACATTACGGTAGCCTCAGCTTCATGAAAGCTTTCTGTTTCTCTGGTTCTTCCTTGTGAGTTTGTTGTTTTACAGAAACTCTACTGATTCTCATATCTTCCTTTTCTCTTAGAAGTGTCTTTCCTTACAGCAGCCTTGTCCTGGAAGGAAATGGTCTTGAGAAGCCTTTGTTATTGACATTTTTTAATTGCTTTGAACAGGGAAAATTTGGGATTATTTTCCTATTATTGTTTTATTAATTTGAATCAAAGTTTTCACCTGAAAACTTTGAAAATGAAAAACCAAGAAGAAAGGCTATATTGAAGTAGGAGTGAAGGATGTAATGGAGTATTTTTACTGCTCTTTTATGGTACTCAGTGTCAGCAAGTACCAAAAATATAATAATTCATACTGATTGCTCTGCAGGACATTAAATATAATGAGATCTGATGAGCTATCAAGACATTGAGTAATGAAAAATCAATCTCTGTTAGAAGCTTCTATTTACTAAATACTATTTTTGCAATTACTTCGTTTTGGAGTTGAACTTGATGATCCTTTAAGGGTCCTTTCCAACTTGAGATATTCTATGATTCTATTATTTTGTACTGATGCCATCAAATCTGGTTTCAGCTGCTGCAGTGTTTGTCAATTTGACTTTTATAATGGCAGCAGAGCATTTTCATAGTGTATGAGGGGAGTGCTTTATTTTGGTGTTGTTTTGTTTTCTTTGGGGTTTTTTGGTCAGTTTTTAAATTTTTTTGTCTGAAAGGTGAAGCAATGGAAAATTTGAGGAATGCCACCCTCTTTGTCTAACAAATGCTAATAATATGGTTATGTAGATGGGAAACACAATAATGATCCTCCCTTTCCTCATTCATATTATGGTATATAAGAAAGGATTTTAGTATTTCTGAAAAATATTATTAATCCTTTTAATCACTCTTACATAGCTATGTCTCTGACCTGCTATGATGTAATATGTGTTCATGTAAGTGAAGTACATTTTTGTGGAGTACCTTATGATAATGGAGGTGAGGAGGGTGCTTTCATTTTGAAAGGGTTGATTTACTGCTTATTGTTCATTTTCGCTGGAATTTTCAAAGGCCCCTGGATCAATTAGACATGCAGGCTTAATGTTTTCAATGGAAATTGAGTATTAGCTTGCCTTAAGCTGCCTGCATGTATTATTTAGCTTTATACTGTCTTGAAAATTGCTTAGATTCTTCTATGTGATATAATGGAACATTATTTGAATTCTGTTGAAACTTTAGAAATGCCAATATCATTATATCCTGTTGTACCTTCAGTTTATTCCATACATTTAAATTAGTTCTACTAAATGCACTTGTCTTTTTTTAAGGCAGTTTCCATACATAAACATATGTTTGTGAGGACAGGGCAAGCAGCCCATATCACTGCACAGATAAGAAAACTGAAGTCTTGAGATGGGAGTGAATTGTTCAAAGTGGGGCATGTGTCAGACCTAAAACTAAATGAAAAGGAGGTTAATTCCAGGGTTCTTGTGTCTCTCCAGAGTAGTATCTCACAATATGGGTCTTTCTTCAATGTCCATTATTTGGTTTACACGGAATTTACTTTCTATATTTAATCAAAAGTAATGTGATACAGGATAGATTGTGGTTTTTATATAACAAGCCAACTGACCAATGCATCTGAGAGACCTTGGGCTTTACCATTGGCTGTTGCTTTTGTGTGACTTGTATGCACAAGCTGGGGATGTAGCTTTCTCCTCAGTCAGTTTAGCTGGTTGCTGCACATCACTTACCAAAGGCTCTTGAACAGCACTGTTAGTATTCTGACTCTTTAATGAACCGAGGTTTTCACACTTGTTTTCTCTAATATTTTTCTGTGATTTCCAGTGCCAGTAGAGCTGTTTTCCCAGTAATGGGGGTAATGCATTAGTGAATGGAGTAAGAGCACACTACTACTCATAGATAATAAAAAGTATAGCCCCTGTTTTTATAATATAACCTTGGTGCTTGGCATTGGTCTGCCTGACTTGTTCTGAAAAGATAAGTAGTTCTCAAAGACTTGAGGCTCAAACGGTGACTTGGGACAAACTCTCCAAGTGGAGAGAGTGTCATCACTGTTTGCAGGAGCCTCTTCAAGAGTTGCGACAACCTGGATCTTGAGCCAGCCTGCACTTCATACAGCGCATGTCTCCTGAAGTATGATGGTGTAGTCCTATTGTATGGGGCACTAATAACAGAGTTAAAGCAACAGAGAGTGCCTGGAGTGGGAGGATAATTGCTCTGCAAATGCTTCTGTGTCTCTGTTTATGATCTCTACCTGCTATAACAACAATAATTGGAAGGGGTGAGTGCAGTGGTTTGTTGGCAATGGTGGAAAACCTTGTAATGCTTTGGAACAGAGAAATATTTTACTAGTCCTTTATTGCCTCTTCGCTTTCTATTTAGAGCCATTCTTTGTTTTTAAAAAGCATTCTTTAGCTTGTACTCTTTTAGCACTAGGAATGCATTCTTTACATCTTTTCTTCCTCATAGTCTTATTTACACTATAGTGATAAGTTCTTAAGGGGAGTGGGCAGATATTTAAGCTGCAAACTGAGATGCAGTTATTAAAATGGGCCTTGCCAGGCTTACTGCCCACTTGCATGTTTTGCAAGGCTGGATGAGTTCTTATTTGCAAGAAAGATGTCTGATAAAATGTTCATTTTGGACTGTTAAATGTTGGGTACATGCATGTCCTGAGTTACACACACTCTTGCGTGAAAAAGAGAGAAGAACAAATAAAAGTGTTGTACCTGGGACACCAGGTGTTCAGCTGGTTCTGTGTTGAACCTGCCAAGAGCGTTCAATGGATGTGCAGTTTTCTTGTGCTTTCTCTCTCTGTAGGAGGAAGAGCTGTCAAGAGTTATTGTCATACATGTGAGTCAGTCCTGTGGCTTGTATTTTATGTCTCCTTCACAAAGATGCATTGTATGTTTTTCTTAAATATACTGGAAGGAAGGAGATGGGTTCTCAGGCTGAGCAAGGAGTGAGGCTTTGATGGTAGTTGATGAATGAAGTTACCAGAAGGAAAAAGTGAAAATCCCTCCAGATTCCGCTCCCCCTGTTTCACTTGCCTTCTAAACACCTCGGTTCTTATCATCTGAACAGAATTTATACTGTTTTCTTGGGGATAGGCTTTAGACACTTATTTTCCACTCTCACTTTTAAAGCAATAAAGTGATGGATTCAGTGCAATTCTTTTTACTAGTTTATTATAGAATAACTGTTTTAATAAAGAATAAAACTTTAATTAAAGAAACCTACTAGATGAAGTACAGAGGATGTAATCCTTTATTGTAGAAATGAAACAAATACAAAATAGGTAATAGAAATTAATCTGCACCCCTATTTCTGTGTTCATTTACAATAATATGTACTGGGAAGGCGAGATGACTGATTTCTGGCTTATTGTGACAGAGAGCACTGCTCTGCTCAGTCTTACTACCTTTCCCTAAAACTGACTGTTACTTATGTTGTGAGGTGTTTATGCAGTATGACTTTTTTAAAATACTTGATTTTAATTGCAAGTGTTATCAGTACTTGAATAAGCAATGAAATAATATAGACCTTATTCTGCATTGTTTCCCTTCCTCTCTTATAAAGAGAGGAATTACATAGACTTCAATCATATAACCTTGCTGGAGTTAGTAAATAGCGAATTGAAAGGAAGTAGAAAGCTTGACAAAGTTTAATTGCAGTCTTTATTCGCTATTCACTTTAGTTCACTATTACCTCTGGGATAAAATGGGGAATCTGAATTGCTTGGGGATTCTGTCCTGTGAAAATGATTCCCCAAGGATGCAGCTTGGTCTGGTACAGGGTAGATGTGAGACATGAACTGAGTTCCTTGCAACAGGGGAGCAGCCAGCTGTCAGAACACCGGTGTGCTGAGATCATGCTGTAGTGTTGCCTTTTGAGAAGGATCCTGAAGGGAAAAATTGTAACATTTCTGAATGCAAAGTTAAGCCTGTTCTTAAATTCCTAAGAACAAAGCATTTAGCTTAGGTTTGGTGCCGTAATCTGGTTGAACTGATTTTGCTGTCTTTAGCTGATTTTTGTTACTGATGGGATAGGTAGTTTATTGTTACCTGCTTACTTTGCCTAACAATACAGTCAGTATGCTGGGACAGTTTGATGCACACTGAGAGATCTCTGTTCCCTGCAGAATAGTGAATATGCACAAATGTATTTTTGAGATGTCTCTTTTTTGTTAATCATCCTGTTAAAAGCAAAACCAATCTCCTCAGGTAAAGAAAGCAATCCATATCCTTATGCCAAGGATATTTTAGATTCTGGGGATTCTGATGGACCCAA